TTTGATTGTAAGAGGTCATTAGATTTGTAGCTCATAGTGTATGAGCATGTTAATTTAATGAGTGTCCAATGTACAGACCAAGGTGGTAAAGCACACAAACAGTTCAACAAGATATGAAACAACAAATACTTCTGGAAAAGCGTGTGGAGCTTGCAAGCTCTTATTTTCCCTTGTTGAAAAACATAAAAGCAAATGAATTATTTTACTAACATTGTTTTATTTCTCTGTAATCAAGTGCCAATAAACTCAACATCTCAAAATAGAATTCTACAGTCAAATAGCATATATGAAGTATAGATGAGTTTTAAACCTTTTCATCCCATTTTTCATCATCATCTTTAAGGTTTAAGGAACTATGTCCCCCATTTTCATGTATGTCGCAACAATAATATAACTAGTTACTTTCACAGGAGAAACTTTTAATAATGTAGCACATCGAATACTGTAAGAACAACAAGGATTATGAAAAAAATTAAATGACTGACTAGCAACTTATATGACATGACTACCTGCTTCCTACTTGGATTATTACAAATTTAATAGCAAACAACTTATGCTATGGTGAAATATACCTGTCAAGAGGCCTACAATTTAAGTGGCCTTACATGAAATGCCAAATCATTTTGGCTGACAGATCGGTTTGACTTTTTTTTTCTTAAACAGAGGAAGATACACAACTTCATTATTATAATTAGCTATTAGACCATTCTCGAGACCAACAGAATTTCATTTAACTAATGGTAAGCACCCCAGCTACCATTTGACTGTATCACACTAAAAAACCTGTGGAACTTTTGGGGAAGTTTTGAAGTGTTCTGAAAAAAAAAAAGTAACTGCACTGCCAATCCCATGCTGAATGCTACATGTCTGGACCTGGGAAACAAAAAAACCCACCCAAACTAAGAGACTGAAAATAACTCTTATTCTATTTGGCTACGTTTTGCTTGAACTTACTGAACTGCTTGGGGAGGGGAGTTCTGGGAGATAGATGAGTGGCCCTTTTTTACAAAACCTTTTGTGGCATCTTTCTTACATTAGCATTGAACTAAAAAGTAATCAAAATCAGCAGATATTTTAATCTAAACGAATATTGATTTTTGAGGACAAGGGGTAGAAGATAAGATCACCTATTTTTCATACATATGAGAGAGAGGTTATATTTCTACAAAAGTGAATAACTGCATCATTTTAATAGGAACTGTTCATCTTTTTAATAACACTGAATTAATATATCAGCAGCATTATTTATTTTATTGCAAGCCTTATGATGTTTGGTGGGTTTATTTTCTGCCTGAAACTTCAGAGATTTTTCCCTTTAAGACAGCTGTTTTATATATCACGGTCTTCAAATCCTAGTAAATTCTTTAAAATAAAAGGTGAGTTCTCCCCCAGGTCAGGGAAGTGCTGTCTGGATACCACAACTGGATCATACACCCATGCTGACAGCCCCCCTTCCCTGTGATACTAACAATTAGGGCTATGATACGAAACTATAGTCCTCTCTAGTGAGATGTCATCCTCTCTGTAAATCACGTCTCACCATGACCGTGAGGGCACGTAACAGATAACTCACATCCCTTTTGATTCTTGTTTGAGGAGACCGGGAAAGAATTATAACTCAGCTGAAAGCATAGAGCAGCCTACATTTGAGGGCTAACGGACCAAATGTGTTTTCGGGTTTCAAACATGCAATGAGCATACAAGAATGGAAACAGGTAACTTGCAAAACCACTTCTGCTGTCGTATTTCCAATGCTTTTAAGAAGCAGCTAGTTTGACGCTATGCCCATATTTTCATTTCCAAAAATCCCCTAATATGAGGATTATAGGTTGTAGTATTACTGTTGAAGTATTTAGAGCAACAATTGCAGAGTCAGTCAACATCTATTTCAGAAAGTTAAACTCCTCACAACTCAAAACAAAAAGTGAAGGGAAGTACATAGTTCCTAAACCTAAATGGGGCCTGTGTCACATGCAGAGCTGCAAAGCTGCTCTCAGTTGGAAGAGATGCCTTTTAGGAAAAAGGAAAGAAAAATTTTCTTTCAAAAAGAAAAAGGCAAATAGCTCAGCAAGATACATAATAGTTTAAGCATTCAAATTAACAATACATTAACAAGAAAAACAAAAATCTTACAAAACTATCAGCTCACTGATGAAAGGTGACAGTGGTGGTGGTTTCTGAATGGTAAACAATAGCAAGCTAAAAAGTAGTGTCATGACAATTCTTCAGGAGGTCTTGTTAGTATGTACTACAGGACTGTGTAGAAGACAAACTTGTATAATTCATCTGCATTAAGAACGCAATTATTAAATTTGCACACAGTTTACTCCTACAACCCTTTCTCAGCAATAAACACAGTTTCATAGGAGTGCTGAAACTGCAGAATGAGAGATGATGAACAAAGTTACACAGAGACACATTCCTTCTAACCTATAAATGATGCCAACAAATCAAGGAAACTCATGTTTGTGTATCAGTGTTGCCCACCTACCTCTTAATCATCACCTACAGAAAATAAACAGTACCAACAGGAAAAAAACCATACATTCTCTTCTAACAATCTGTCCAGCAACCACCTATATTTACAACTTACCATAATTCCTCCCACATATTTTCATACAATGCTCATAAATTTGTCTCAACAGTAATTTTGTAGAGTTCACTTCTGAAATCTTCCACTACTGTATCTACAAATGCAGTTCACCTTCCACTTTATGCAAATAAAAAAAATCCATTTTACTGTTTTTTTAACTAATACAGACACAGACAAATCTAACACTCAGAAATAAACTTACTGTGTGGCTTTGACAATGTCCCAAGTGCTGTAATCATCAATGTGGCTTTTCCGTCCAAGAGATTCACTGTATCCATGGTTGTAATGGCTTTGAGGCTTTATTTCCTAAAGAAAGAGAAACTTGCTATTAGAACACCAAAATCAGCATTACTAAAGATTCTCAGAAAAAAAAATTCCTATAAGCAAAACTAAAAACAGTACCCAGTTCAATAAACTATAAAGCTACCTAAATCTGAGGGTTGTAAGCTGACTGGCCACATTTCTGCATTTTGCAAAGCAGGCCACTGTATTTCTCTAGTATAGATTTCAAACGCCTTCCAGAAGACACCACCTGTAATAGCAGAGTTCTGCCAAATCCCATGCTGGGGTATTTTTTTAGAACACTAACAAAAAGTAACCACAATTATGTGTTTGTTTTGAGTTTCTTTGTTTGTTTTTATAAATGCAACATAGCATAGCTAAAGAAAGCTACTGGCCATAAACTGACAAAGTCTCACTCTGCTACTACAAATAAATGTCATATTTCAAATAGCATAGTCAAATACCTTCTAGAAAATAAATAATTGGGAATGATTAATACCAGTGACTAGAACCTATTAATACTTTATTGATTCTTCAACTCCAATCCCAGCTTCAGAGGTGATCAACGTATGTTTAACCCATGGGTCTCAGAAATAAATGGCATGATCATGACATGTTCTTCACCAGATACAGCTCCCTACAAACTTAATTCTTTTGATGAAGGGCAACGCTTCAACCCTTAATGCTTCTCTTGGTGGAACATTGTATTGACAGATCACAAGGGCAGCAACATACCATTTTTCTTTACAAACTGCATGCATGTGAAAGTCAGCTCAGCAAGTTGAAATTGATTAGTTTTATACAGCTTCTAGACAATTTTCCATTTATTACAAAAACTATAGCTGATTGCCTCTGTGTATCAACGGTGCAATTCAGCATAGCTACACAGAAAAGTGTGAGAACTGGAACAGTGAAGCAAGAAGACAAGCAAGCTCCCTGAAAGCTCTGAAAATGCATTTCAATTTATTTTATTAAAATGTGTTATTTAACTTTACTTAGTTTTCCCTAGCATATAGTTCCACGAGCAGAAATTTTGTTTCTTTAATCTATACCTGGAAATACTTTTAAACACCTTATGAAAGATGTTTAATTAAGGTTCCAACTTCCACTTAGTTATTAGAATGAGTGATCAACTTTTTCATTATTATACTAGACAGATTTTTATTTTTTTGAAATAAAGATACCCTGAGTCAAGACAACCATGACATAATACACCTAACCTTAACAAGGATTTGGAGTCACAAATCCCTATCACCTTCTCTCCCAAGAGGCAAATGTTGCCCCGCTAGCTTCAGTGACTAAGAGACATATTAGGACTAGGAAGTCTTCCTATTGCCAAGATGAGCACGTCTCCCATGTCTCACATTCTCTCAGCTGTGCAATAACTTCTGCAAAAGGAGCTGTTGGTTACAATGAGAAGCATTAGTAACTTCTTACTGTGTCTAGTTGTGGCTAGTCAGCCAAAGTGTTGTCCAGCTTTCTGCGACAACATTAACCAGCTCTCTGTTGACTGCACTGGTAGTTTAAATACCGAGCTTGCATGCAGACAAGTCAACTCTGCCCTCTGACTCTCTTCAATCTGGAACTTAACTCATCTCAGCTGTATAAACACAATGCCTTCCCAATGACCGGATGCTGGGTAATCAAATCAGTCATTACAAATTTTTCTCATTAAAGTTGTTTTAAAGGTACTTCTATCCTAAAATTATTACATGCATTATGTATCTCTCAGAGAGATAAAAAGAAGACTTAAATCTGAAAACCATGTTTTAAATATCTATTTCCAGATTTCAACATACTGAAGTGACACTTAAGCAGAAGTCTAAAAACTTATACCACTTATAACCTCAGAGTAAACTATTGAGAAGGTAGTCTAGTTGCAAATCCAAAAACTCTCAGTATTAATTTCAAAACCAAGTAACTTCAGTAGAGCATGTTTGTATTTCTCATATACAATGTACCTATTTCAGACAGGGAAAAAAAAACAAATTAAGAGAAATTCTAATGCATTAAGTACATTTTGTAGTACTAAATTATACCAAATTAATATAGTCATTTATATAGTTAGAACATTCATGACATTTTATACATCAAAAAACTTTTCAAGAAATTCAAGTGTTTAGAGCTTTAAAACCAGAACATAGTGACACTAAGAACTAGCGCAGCAAAAGTCTTCATTTCAAAATAGATTTATTCTTATGCTTAGACTTTTCTTCAGAAAAATAAATTTTTCAATTTCACGCAGTACCTAAATGATCAGCAGAGTACATCTAAAATAACCACAATGTTATTTTGTGGCATTTTTTTTTTTTCCTAAGCCTGAAAAATTAACTAGATTAACCAGTTAAGCATTGCCAGCCCAGCAGGAAGGCTGCTCTGTGGCCATCTCTACAGGAGACACAACCTAAAAGTGTAACAGGGCATCTGCTGTCATCCAAATCACACGTGACAACTAATTCTTACTATCCAGAAACATAGCTTCACTTTGTATTTGAAGAAGGCAACAGCTTAACCAAACCCTTTTTCTCCCAGGTACTAGATAAGCCACAGTGTTATCTGGAGTAAAGGTGCTGAAAAACATAACCAAAGGACATTACAATTGAGAAAAAAAAAGTAGAATATAAGGCTAAATTCATTATTTTGTGCCACATGATTTTCTCTTTTCCATCATATTAGAAAAAAAGCAGGATTTATACCATCTCTGTTCACCAATTATTACACCACACAATTGCAGTAGGATTTTACATATCAAATTGGAATGCTCAGACCCTGAAAAGCTAAAGGCTAAGTCAAGTCGGCAGAAGCCAGAACAAAAGAAATTCACTGTCCTGGAGCACCCTGATGAGGAGATAGTAGTTCAATGTATTTCTTAGCCTTCCACAGCTGCTGGAAGGGGGAAAATTCTCTCTTCTTGTTACCTAACATTTATTAAAAGCAAACCGAGAAGCTTGGGTTATTTTTCAGGCAGATGTTGATTCACCAGGGAAACACTATTTCTCTTAAGCTGCATTCTCCTGACCACTTCAAGCACACAAACCAGGCTTCTGTTCCCTTGAGCCTGCACTAGCCAGTCAAGAGAGCTGCCCATTTACAAGCAGCGTAAATTTGTATCAGCCTAAAGTGACCATGAAACCACAGCCTTACAATACTAATGCTTTCACAAAAAGGGTTTATGGGAATACAGCAAAATCTTAAGTATTAATTATTAACCATGTAAATTAAAAAAAAGTAAGAGATTATATTCCTTAGCCCCTCCTATAGCTTAGCTACTACTTTTACTAAGGACTTGAAGGTAATAACAGCATCCTTAACTGTTAAGAAAAAAAAATTTTTTATCTCCTCTTGTACTGATAGCATCTCTGAACCACCTTTTTTATGCTGAAACTTTCGAATTTTGTTATATTAATGCAAAATAGCCGAAGTGATTAAAAAGTTAGATTTGAGGTGATGGCAAATATGACTGCCTGACACAAAATGAGTAAGCAAGAAATAATTCTCTTCCTCTGCCCCCAGTACACACATTAGCAGTTACAGTCCATTTGTTTAATATAAAGACTCACAACAAATATAAACTCAAAGTGAACCCTATGTTTTCTGATTTACTAAGAGTTGAGTTTGTATTTTACATTTAAGAACAGCTGAAACAGTCCCTAAAATCCTGAAAGGTATATGAACATCACAGCCTCCAACATCATACAATAGAGTCTTCTAACCACAGTGTTAGCTGTAGGAAAAAGGATGACTTTAATGTGCCTGAAAAGAAGATGCAAATACTGCTCATTTTGGAAGTAAGTCATTGAAGACAAATTCCAGGAAAGCGTATCAAATCTGAATCCTCACCCAATGCAGTCAGTTCTCCGCAGCCTGGACACAGATTCCCAAGCTTGGAGTCAAAACTGATCTCTTAGTATTATCTATGCAACTTGACAGTTGCATATTGGCTCATAGTAGCGTGCTGGCTACTATCAGTGCCATTCTACGGGATGTAACTCTTATTTGGCATTCTAATTGCCTAGTTTATGACTGTGATCTGCAGAGTAACTTTTGGGTTCCTAAGTCAACAAGCTGCCAGGAATCAAGATGAAAAAGAACCTGGACTTTGTGAATCACAGTAATACCTGATTCACCAGGTGACAGGCAATTTGGACCAAGTCACTGCAAACAACACTGTGACACACTATACTTTGCTGACAAGGCAAAATATAAGAGAGGCAAGGCAGCAGCTAGGAACAGAAAAGAGTCTCTTAATTCCTAAAGAATTTTTTTCAGGGTTCTGAGAAGTCCTGTGCAGGGCTAGGGCACAGTACTATAAAATGCAGAAAAGTAATTTCTCCTAGTTATTCTAGAAGGAATGATTTATAAAGAAATAATGAAAGACTGACATTAAGATTATCTAATACAGGTCTACACTGTTTTAGCTGGGCAAGTTACCAGTCAACAGGAAAACAACTGATAGCCTGAAGTAGGAGACCATTGTAAGACCTACAACAAGTGAATCCAAATCAGGTATCTGCTCAAGGTGTTATCTCAGAGTCTACCAAACACAGCTAACACACACTTTCCCTGAACCTTCAGTTTTTGATTTTGCAGTCCCTATCAGCCTCAGGCATTTCAGAGAACAATTTGGTTATTTATGTCTCTGCTTACGAAGCCTACTAGTTTGATTAAACACTGACTTACCAGAAAACAAAAATTGTTGTATTCAACACAGTTAACCTTCCCAGATGTCATGGCTTGTGATATACCAGTATCTAGTCAACAGAACTCAACTGCTAGCTACCTCTGCTTTTACAAAAGCCATATATACACACATCAAAGGAAAAAACCAGAAAGAATCAGTTTTCAAACAACTTCAGCCAAACTAGTACAACCTTGTGCCTGACATGTATTTGGTCCTACCAATACAGTCACTTCGAACTGAAGTGCAAAGCTCTCCTTAGTTATTCAATGCACAGCACCGAAACTCAAAAGCACATTCTTAAAACTCACAAGGAAGTTCAAATTATGTCCTTTTTAAAGA